GGCTTGCCTAGTTTCCCTGGGGGGAGTATTCCAAAGTCAGAGGGCCACCACCGAAAAGGCCCTCTCCCTCGTCCCCACTAGCTGTGCTTGTGACGGTGGTGAGAACAAGAGGAGGGCCTCCTCACCAATTCAATTAGATATGAAAAGTAGGTCTTTGCTAGAGATGGAAGGAATACTTACAGGTCTTTCATTAGGATCGATAAAAAATATCTTGATGATGATTTCAAATTCACCCCAGCCTGTTTCCGTGATTTCATATGGTGGCTTCGTTACAACTAAAACAGAAAAGATGGAAAGGCTGCAAACCACACTATCTTTGAAAAATGAAGAAAAAGTGTATGTACTAAAACAATAAATAAGTCATATTGACACCATACCTCTCAGTGGATTACCATAGCTTTCGTGCAATTTAAACTGGATTTTCTTTACATAGGCAGACATATCCTAGAACAAATATAGTCAACACTTACTTACACATTTAGTAACACATTTTATATTGTTTCATTGTCTACTTCAACCTACCAGATAGGTTTACTGGGGTATTAACATTTGTGTGACCTCTAATTTTCAATCAAGAAGCTTTCTGAAAGAAGCACCCAAAGCTGAGTAAATTTACCAAAAACTGAATGCGGCACTTCAAATTCCAACCAATGAGGATTTCCAAAAGGTCACTTTCCTCAGATCACGATTGACCCTAGGTTATTCATATCACTTTTTCTGTATACCTATCATTTGTTTTCTGTATGGTTTCTGTTTTTGGAAACTTAAATCATACCTTTGTATGTGTGTCTTCAAGTTGCTGTCGAATTAAGGCAACACCATGGATTTTACAGGGTTTTCTAAGACAATGAATACTCAGAGATAGTTTTTTCTCCAATTCCCCCTTCTAAAATATAGCCCAATAGTATCTGGTATTAATGTGTTGTTGAAGGCTTTCATGGCCAGAATCACTGTGTTGCTGAGAGTTTTCCGGCCTGTATGGCCATGCTCCAGAAGCAACCTAGCACCTGGTATTTACTGACAGTCTCCCATCCAAATACTAACCAAAGCCTAGTGGCAAAGCTCAGATGAGATCCAGTGCCTTTAAGGTATTCAGGCCCTATTTATCTTAAGCGAGTAGAATCGAGATACATCGGAAGTGTTCAGGATAGGATTTTAGTACATTTCTCCCTTTTTGCCTACCTCATTTCTGTAAGGTTTAACATACACTGTCCACTGATGCGTGTGTCCATCTTCTTCTCGTTTCTTTCCAAAATAGCGTGCCACATTCCCATAAACTATGGGTTTCACAATAGTCACACCCTTCCAATAGATAAAAAAGAGAAAACTAAGATTCAGAAATTTGTCGCTCTTCAGATAAGCAAATTTTATATTTTATTTATTTATTTATTATTTATTTATTTCTTGCACTTATTAACCGCCACTCTCAGCCCTAGGGCGACTCGTGGCGGTGTACAACAACATAGAAAGACAGTTTACAATAAATCAAGACAATAAACACAATCTACCACTACATGACAACTACTTATACTAAAAATCCGCTTCGTCATATCCTGGGGTCATAATCAATCTCATAGTCATAGTCCATTCCGGTCGTCATTTCCAATAACATAGCACTCAGTTGAAGGCCAATTCGAAAAGCCATGTTTTCAGGCCCTTACGAAAGGCCATAAGGGAGGGCGCCTGTCTAAGTTCAGCAGGGAGGGAGTTCCAAAGCCGGGGGGCCACCACCGAGAAGGCCCGCTCCCTCGTCCCCGCCAGACGTGCCTGTGAGGCAGGCGGGACCGAGAGAAGGGCCTCCCCAGATGATCTCAAGGTCCTCGTGGGCTCATAGGCCGAGATGCGGTCTGCAAGGTATTTTGGGCCGGAACCGTTTAGGGCTTTGTAGGATAACACCAGCACCTTAAATTGGGCCCGGTAGCAAATCGGCAGCCAGTGGAGCTGGGACAGCAGGGGCGTTGTACGCTCTCTGCGTCCTGCTCCTGTTAGTAACATGGCTGCCGCGCGCTGGACTAGCTGGAGCTTCCGGGCCGTCTTCAAGGGCAGCCCCACGTAGAGAGCGTTGCAGTAGTCGAGGCGGGATGTGACCAAAGCGTGTACCACCGTGGCCAAGTCAGACTTCCCAAGATACGGGCGCAGCTGGCACAGTACCATAATAAGTTCAATTCTTCCACTGTATACAGCTGTACAAATTCTATATCGATATATATGGAATGATCAAGAGGTTTATATCCCATTCACTATGGAATGGCTCATATTTAAATGAAATGACCAATATTTAAATCTAAGGACCAGATTTAAAACAAAGACAAGGACTGCAATTTGGTAGTACACTCCTACATAGGTCTGTTTTTTTGTTTTTTTTTTGCCTTCAGGTTGTTTCTGATTTAGAATGACTCTTAAGTTATTTTGTTTTTGTTTTTTTCCATTTCAGGAGCAACTTGAGAAACTACAAGCTGCTCCTGGTGTGAGAGAATTGGCCGTCTGCAAGGATTTTACCCAGGGGACGCCAGGATGTTTTGATGTTTTACCATCCTTGTGGGAGGCTTCTCTCATGTCCCTGCATGGGGAGCTGGAGCTGACAGAGGGAGCTCATCCACTCTCTCTCCGGTTTCAAAACTCCGACCTGTTGGTCTTCAGTCCTGCCAGCACAAGGATTTAACCTACTACGCCACCATGGACTCTTAAGGTGAACCTTTGAGTTTTTTCTTGCAAGACCTGTTCAGAGGGGATTTGCCTTTGCTGAGAGATGTCTTTGGGTGACTTTGCTACCCAAATGTCACCCAAATGCTACCCAATGCTACCCAAAGTCACCCAAATGTGTTTTCATGGCGAAGCAGGGATTCAAACTTTGATCTCCAGAGTCAGAGTTGACCACTCAAATCACTATAGGTAAAGGTAAAAATTCCTTCTTGACATTAGGTCTTGTTGTGTCCGACTCTGGGGGGTGGTGGTGTTTATTTCCATTTCTAAGCCAAAGAGCCGGGGTTGTCCATAGACACCTCCTTGGTCATGTAGCCAGCATGACTGCATGGAGCTTACTTACTTACTTAGGCAATCCCTCGTAGTCTGAGGATGATGGTCCTCCAAGTGTAGTGTCCTGGCGGTGGGTCCATAGGTGACTGGAGCCCAATTCTTGATCTGTATCTTCTCCCGCAGTGAGGGCATTGGTTTCCAAGTGGAAGGTGGTCCTGGTCGGGGTTGGCTTGACGTGCCTTCCTCTTGACACCTTTCTCTCTTTCGCCCTCCATTCGTGCCTCTTCAAATTCTACAGCACTGCTGGTCACAGTTGACCTCCAACTGGGCTCAAGGGCCAGGGCTTCCCAGTTCTCAGTGTCTATGCCAGAGTTTTTAAGGTTGGCTTTTAGCCCATCTTTAAATCTCTTTTCCTGTCCACCAACATTCCATTTTCCGTTCTTGAGTTCGGAGTAGAGCAACTGCTTTGGGAGATGGTGGTCGGGCATCTGGACAATGTGGTCGGTCCAGCAGAGTTGATGGCGGAGGACCATCGCTTCAGTGCTGGTGGTCTTTGCTTCTTCCAGAATGCTGACATTTGTCCGCTTGTCTTCCCAAGAGATTTGCAGGATTTTTAGGAGGCAGCACTGATGGAATTGTTCCAGGAGTTGCATGTGAGGCCTGTAGACTGTCCACATCTCGCAAGGTGTATAGCAGGGTTGGGAGGCCAATAGTTTTATAAACAAGCACCTTGGTATCCCTATGGATGTCCCAGTCCTCAAACACTCTCTGCTTCATTCGGAAAAACGCTGCACTCGCAGAGCTCGGGCAGTGTTGTATTTCGGTGTCAATGACTTTTGTGGAGAAGTGGCTGCCAAGGTAGCAGAAATCATCAGCATTTTCTAATGTTACACCATTAAACTGTATTTCTGGCATTGGAGAGGGATTGGTTGGTGACAGCAGGAAGAGCATTTTTGGTTTTCTCGATGTTTAATGACAGGTATGGATGTTTAATGCATGGAGCACATACACGAAATAAGGTGTACCTATTGATCTATGGAGCCCCCGGTGGCGCAGTGGGTTAAAGCACTGAGCTGCTGAGCTTGTTGATCGAAAGGTCGCAGGTTCGATTCCGGGGAGCGGCGTGAGCTTCCGCTGTCAGCCCTAGCTTCTGCCAACCTAGCAGTTCGAAAACATGCAAATGTGAGTAGATCAATAGGTACCGCTCCGGCGGGAAGGTAAAGGCGCTCCATGCAGTCATGCTGGCCACATGACCTTGGAGGTGTCTACGGACAACGCTGGCTCTTCGGCTTAGAAATGGAGATGAGCACCACACCCTAGAGTCAGACATGACTGGACTTAATGTCAGGGGACTACCTTTACCTTTACCTTATTTATCTACCCATATTTGCATGTTTTGAACTGCTAGGTTGGCAGAAGCTGGGGCCAACAGCAGGAGCTCACCCCTTTCCCCGGATTCGAACTGCCAACCTTGCAGTCAACAAGTTCAGCAGCTCAGAAATCCAAAGCCCCTCCCCTCCCCTCCCGAATTCGGAGTCTACCTGTCACTCAGGTTACCGGGGCGACAATGGAACGCAACCGCCATTGGCCACGCCGAGAGCGCGCGCGCACACACACACACATCCCCCCCTCCCCTTCGCTTCCAACCGACGCCTCGCTCACCTTCACTCTGCCTCCCGAGTCAGGCCCGAACTCGGCCATTCTCTTGAACATATTGCACCGGAAGCCAAGGCTCCTCGCGCCGCTCGAGAGCAGCCAGGCCGCGCTAGGGCAAAGGCATCCCCATCCGCCTCGGGCGCCTCTCCGCGAGCCGCCTCTCGGCCGCCCACCAGGCCCCTCGCTCGCTCGCCCACAACTCCTTCCGGGTGAGGCAAGACCGGCGCAGCGCTCTCTAGCCCCTCTTGGACACAAAGAGGCGAATTCACCTGTGCCAAGCCGGGTTTCGGCTGTCTTCATGAACAGCTCTATGTTCCATTGTCGCCGCCATGGCAACCGCCTGCGGAATTCTGGGGCTTGAAGTTTCGTGAGAGCCAAGAGCTCTCTGGCTGCGTTCTCAATGCCCCTCCCTGGACTGCAAGCCCCAGGATGCCACTGGATTCGGCTAAGGCAGTGAAAGTGGATCATAGAGCTAACACTATGGATTGGGGCGGAAGCGGAAAAGGACGCAATCCTTGTCAGGGGAAATGTGGCTAACATCAGCCTTGAATGTAGATGATAAGAAAGGTGTCGAGGCTTTGGTTCTCCAAATATGGTTAACTCTCAAATCCTAGAAGCCCCACGTGGCAGGCCTGGGTATTAGAAAAACAATAACTCGGGACTGGTTGTAATTCTGTAGTTCTATATATTATTTAATTATTTATATCCCACTTTATCCATACAGAGACTCAAAGCGGTTCTCAAAAGCATTACAACTTGAAATATACATTAATAAGTATATTATATATTATCAGTAATATTTATATTTAATACTAGCTGTCCCCTGCCACGTGTTGCTGTGGCCCAGTCTTGTGTATATCTGCTTTGTGTGTATATATACTTGTGTCTGCATGGGTGTGTGTATATATATATATATATACACACACACATATATATGGTTTTTCTTTGTGTTTTGGGCTTTTTAAGTCCCTTCCGCTTTTTTCAGTGTTTGTATGAGTAATGGTCACTCATTGGCCTGATAGATGTCTTGTGTCCAAATTTGGTGTCAATTCCTCCAGTGGTTTTTGAGTTATCTTAATTCCACAAACAACATTGCATTTCTATTTATTTAATAATAGCCATCCCCTGCCATGCGTCGCTGTGGCCCAGTCTGGTGATCTGTAAAATAAAGTAATGAGAAAGTGTTGCTTTCGAATATAAGTAATTTCCTCATGCTTGTGGGTAAACAGTATTTGATTACGTTTTCTTGCCCTGGTGAGGTGAGTTGGACTGGACGGCCTTAAGTATTTTCTATTGGTCATAGGGGTTCTGTGTGGGAAGTTTGCCCCAATTCTATCATTCATGGGGTTTGGAATGTTCTTTGTAGGTAAACTATAAATCCCAGTAACTACCACACCCAAATGTCAAGGTCTATTTCCCCCAAACTCCGTCTGCATTCGTAGTTGGGCATATAGAATATTCATGCCAACTTTGGTCCAGATCCATCATTGTTTGAGTCCACAGTGCTCTCTGGATGTAGGTGAACTACAACTCCCAAACTCAAGGTCAATGCCCACCAAACCCTTCTAGTGTTTTCTGTTGGTCATGGGAGTCCGGTGTGCCACGTTTGGTTCAATTCCATCATTGGTGGAGTTCAGAATGCTCTTAACTATAAATCCCAGCAACTACCACTCCCAAATGACAAACTCAATTTTTTGATTGATGGTCACTCCTTGGGTTAGTAGATGTTGTGTCCAAATTTCATGTCAATTCATCCAGTGGTTTTTGAGTTACGTTAATCTCACAAACGAAATTACATGTTTATTTATATAGATAGTAGTAATGAATTACAATATTATCATTATTATACTGTATTAGGAGTTCTCTGTGGCACTGCGGGTTAAACTGTTGAGTTGCAGAACTTGCCGACTGAAAAGTCAGCGGTTCAACTCGAGGGAGCACTGTCAGCTCCTGCTGTTAGCCCCAGCTTCTATCAACCTAGCAGTTTGTAAACATGCAAATGTGAGTAGATCAATAGGTACTGCTCTGGCAGGAAGGTAACGGCGCTCCATGCAGTCATGCCAGCCACATGACCTTGGAGGAGTATACAGACGCCAGCTCTTTGGCTAAGAAATGGAGGTGCACACCACCCCCCGGAGTTGGACATAAGTATCAGGGAAAACCTTTACCTTTTATATTATATTATTTTATTTATTTATTTATTTATTTATTTATTTACTTTGCTTATATACCGCTGTATCTCAAGCCCGAAGGCGACTCACAGTGGTTCACAAACAGTAAAAACAGTAGAAACAGCAGTGGTTCCATACAACATATAACAATTGACTTAACACATTATCCATAAATTACCAATAAGCAATTACAATGCACAATTATTATGAATTATTATATTATATTATAATTATTATTATATTATTATATTAGTATTATATTGTATTACATTATCAACATGTATATGTATAAGCACAGCACATTAGCACTATATATTACTGTATTGTACTATACCACTATACTGCAATATTACATGTAATATAGAATATACAATATTTTAGACTAGAACTATTGTTCCTTTCCCCAGTAAGATTTCTGCCCATCGCTTGATTTGTCCTTCTTAAATGTCTAACGTTATAGCATGGAGTCTTGAAATGTATTTACCCCTGGAATATTTGCTGTTTGCGTTCCCTCTGTCACTTTACCCCATTTATTGTGATCCCGGACTCTAGTTCGAACTGCTCTATTCAAATTGTTACTGTGAATAATAAAGCTGATGGAACTTAGTATTCTTATTGGGTGGCAATGCCCCCATCCTCCCCAACAAAACTCGTTTTTCTAGATTTTTCACAATCTAAATTTTCTGTCACGTGACAATCCTGTGCACATTCAGAATAGACTGATGAAGTTTCACACCATTCCTGTGTCCCCTATATAACATATTCTCACAGCCCTTGAAGCAGAGTGAACAGTGAGACTGTTTCCTAAACCAGAGGCAGATATGGAATTAAAGGAACCAAGCAACAGGGAACCATGCAGGGAATGTTGCTGATGGGGGAAACTCCTGTTCTAACACCTCTAACATGTCACCTCTAAAGAAACCCATAATGAAAACATTTGACTCTTGTTACTGCACTTTTGGCACATTTTCTGTATTGTTTCCACCAGTTTTTACAAAGATAGACAAGAGGTGCTGGGGGGGGGGGMGTGAGAAAAGAAAGATGTCAGGCATTTTGTAGTACACGCTATATAGACTTCTCAGCATGTTAATAGGATAGCTATCTGAAAGCAAGATAAATTAATGTGTGAGCAATTTTGTAATTGAACAAGCAACACTGGACTGAACCTACTATGTAGAATTAATGTGGTTTGCCACCATTTTAACTACTGTGGCTCAATGCTACGGAATCATGGAGGTTGCAGTTTTGTAGCCTTCTCTGCCAAATAGATCCGGTCCTTCACCAAAGTACAACTCCTGGGATTCCATAAATTGAGACATAGCAATAAAAATGGTGGCAAAATGCATTAATTCTACATTGTAGATGCAACCACTATTTGCCTTTCTACTTTGCCTGCACACTCTGAGGCCACCCTCCTAACCTGACACCTTCAAATAGATTGACTTCAACCCATCATCCCAAATAAGCACAGCCGATTGTTTCTTCGTAGTCAAAATATTTGGCAGGAATTACGCTGAAGGCCAAAATCACAATAGCAATCATAAATATAAAACTGCTAGTTCTAATGAGAACAGACCACTTTATTTGCTGTGGTCCGTGTAATCCAATAATCATGTGTACATATACAAAATACAGTAAGATTTTAATGGGTGCTATCATGTGTATTTCAGATTCAAACCTACCTGCAGGAACCCACAGAGCATGTGCAAAGTCCAGAGGAAACTTGTACTTTTTTCAAAGGCTGACAGGTTAGTTCTATTCATTTATTTAAATTAGAATACAGCAGTTTCCCGCTGTGTTCCATACCTGCTTCTTCTTCCTTTCTCAGATGTGTCAGTGTTCATTGAAATCTACTGATAATAGGAATAAAATTTTGTGTGTAATTGTTATCACCTGTAACAAATTAATTTTAACACCTAATTAAAAAAAAACCCATAAAACTGTTTGTTCAAATAATTCCTAGTAAAGAATAGCTTTCAGAAAATTACACCTTAATAATTATGTCTGTCTGTATAACTATTAATTTTGCCAGTGACCATGGCTAAGTAAGTCTTTTGAAAAATCAACTTAGTTGTTACAGTTCAACATAGCAAAAGAAGGCTAGCAAAATAAGACAAGAAGTATTAAATTGAGTCAATTTTTAATTTTAAATGGGCTTGTTTCACCTAGAATTTCAGAGAATATTTATCATCTTGTTGTATTTTTGGTTATTTAAAAATGATTTTACATGGATAGTGTATCTAAATCAGAAAAATATTGGTACATAATATGCACAAGGCAACAATTTACATTGTTGGCTCTACGTCATTCTTTTTGAGTGATGGTTGGAATCCTGTTTGTGCTGGATTTTCCTTCTGCCAATTTGTACCCTTTTAGGCAAAAGAGTCAACACTATAACTCACTGGTTCTCAACCTGTGGGTTCCCAGATGTTTTGGCCTTCAACTCCCAGAAATCCTAACAGCTGGTAAATTGGCTGGGATTTCTGGGAATTGTAGGCCAAAACACCTGGAGACCCACAGGTTGAGAACCATTACTATAGCTTAAAGTCTGTAACATGAATTTTCAGATTTTTTTTTAAGCTACAAAGGGGATGGATACAAAGAGATGCACATGGTGGATGTCAGAACCTAGCAGTAAAGCATTTCAAATATTTGATGGGGTCTTCTTTGATGGAGAAAGTATGTATATATTGTGTATGACACTTGCAATAGAAAAGCCAAATAATCTACTAGACCTGGAAGTGGAAGTAAGGCTACTCTTTGATCATTAGGAGCAATATCAATTTCACTTTTCTCTTCTTGATACAGTTTCACAATCCAAACCTAAGTTCAGGAACAGCTTTGTGTGTATACATGCACATATAAAACAGTAATGATGTGCTTCTATATGCTTGGGCCCAGGAGTGTTCACTTATTTCAATTTTTTTCAGATTTTGGGATATCCGCATATACATAATGGGACACTCTGGAGATGGGACCCAAGTCTACACACAAAATTCACTTGTCATATACATCTTAAACCCATGGACTGAAGATGTTATAAATAATACTTTAAAATAATTTTGTGCATGATTAACAAAGTTTGTATCCACTGAATCAGCAGAAAGCAAAAAAGATCACTATCTCGGGCACCAATGAGAACAATTTTGTCGTATTTCGGAGCCGTACTTTTATTTCACAATGGTAGCACGTAATATCGAAAGAATACAAGGCAGTCTTAAATGACTTGTTAAACTGTCTTTATTTGTCTCCAACACAAGGTAACTTCTTTTGCAGATTAAAGACCAAATCCTAACAGTCACCTGAAGAAAGGAGTTCTGATATAAGAATATAAGAGATGGGATGGTGGGATTAAAGCACATATGTAAATTTGACAGTACACCCGCTCACCTTATGACATTTCAGTGTCAAGAATAGCAACACTACCACATGAACCATCATGCATTAGGTCATGATCATTATGTATTTTTAAAAAAATAGTCATGCACAAATGTATTAGTACATACAAATACAAATTATGATTTGTAAATATATGTATGAATAAGATGTGGCCTAGTAAAACTGCAGGCTAAATCATTTTAAAAAATAAGAGCATCTGCTTATTTCAGAGACTGAAAAGTTTTTACAAACCTTATTTTAAATGCTCTGTGTTCACACTGTGTAAACTTCATTCTTTTAAAAAAACTAGAAAGTCATCTAAGACTTCTAGATTATTAAACAGTTTATATAATGTATATGACATCCAAAATAACAACTCAAAAAGTAACCTCTTAATGTAAAATACAAGGTTTTGTAGCATATGCTCAAACATTAATTTGAACAAAAGTAACTGTGTACAACTATGGTGAGAAACCTGCCCCCCCTTGGGCTAACCCAGGCATGGACAATCTTCGGCCCTCCAGGTGTTTTGCACCTCAACTCCCACAATTCTTAACAGCCTACCTGGAGGGCTGAAGTTTGCCCATGCCTGGGTTTATATTTAAACAAGCATTAAGGTGAGATCAGGAAAATGACAGGAATGTCACAAAGAGCACTGAAATCCCAAAACTGCAACTCACCCACTCCTGAGTCAATGGCCCTTTTCAAGAAAAAAACACCCCGCAACTGATATAAAGCTTACTACCCTTCATGTGATGTGATGTAGATAAATGATACTTAAAGTGGTGGTCCCTGGACCAGGGCCAGTCTGTGGCAGCTTTCTAGGGAACAGTTGTAGCCAATCAGTATAAATAAAATTTCAGTTCCCAATACATCAGGGGGGAAAAAACATCCAGTTCCCAAAATCAGACAGACTGAGAAACACAGGTCAATATTCCAACTTCGAGATTTGAAAACTATACTTGAAAATGCTTCTCAATTAGAGCAAGATATCAATTCATAATCAAGAAAGTTGACTCAGAAAAATGGAGATTCATGGAATGGCATTATTTTTATTTAATCTAAGACTTCTCGGCTGGAAAGAGACTAAGCAGTATGCAGATAGATGGAGAAAATATGGAATCTTAAATTAACAGGTACACATGTGCTATTCTCTCCTCTCTCTGGAAAAGAGAGACAAGAGACAGTATATATACAATGTTCCTAAAAATATTTTCCCTGATGTTAGCTACATAAATAGTAAATCAATATTTTCTGCAGTTTCACACTTTTAAATGACCTGACATGTTTTCCCCAAAAGTCCTCTCAGATTTAGAAATGGATTGACAGTTAACTAAAGTATTAGTAAAATGTACATTTTACACAAGACATTTACTAATGTAACATTAAAAGCAGCATTTTAAGGCTGTATGTTCTGTACATTAAACAAGTAAACAATATGACTAGCAAGATCCTATATAAAATTTAGGAAATATGCTTAAACTCCACACGAGTGAAAAATTAAAAATTATCCTATACTGTATTAACAAAGAAATTTTAAAACTGAAGTCAACCTACACAGTTAAAACTTGCAGCTTGTAGTGATGGGAGAAACCAGAGACTTAGTTGTAATTAAACATACCGAGAATAGAAAGCAGCCTTAATATATACACTCCAGTGATGCCACACTAATCGGGATTTTCTTTAAGATCACTTAAATTTCTGATGGAGAACAAAAGCCAGCCCATCTCTTTGATAAATATTTAAAAGTGCTTTGTCTAAAAATATTTTCTCCAGCTACTATTATTTGTTCCATTTTGGGGGGGGGGGGGGAATCTATGAAAAATGTATTCACATTTGCTCTGCCAATTACATTTCTGGATTATATAAGTAGCAACTTCTATAATAATGCATCATACTGCAAACTCTTGTTACAGTAGCCATGCTGATAGATGACAACTCAAATATCCAGGATTGGGGCACTGATCAGTTTTTAATCATGTTTCCCTAAAAAAAACCCCACATTTAAATACTATTTGACTATGAAAGTCTTTATACAAAGTATCAACTATATCCATGAATATTATTTACATTCTCCAGAAGCAGATTAAATAAGCAATCAAAGCCCACCTCTCTGGAAGGAGCTTTTAGTGTTGCCTGAAGAAAATATACAGATTTCTCTCTAAAGCTTATTACAAGTGGAATGCCTTCAGTTTGCCTTTAAAAAAATCTTTGGACCTTGTTAAAATCTACTGAGAATTTAAAAGAATTCTCATTTGAGGGGGGGGGGGTCGCTCACAATACAGTTATCAGAACTATACACTACCAGATGTTAGAAATACTCACCTACACATATAAAACAATTATCAAAATTAATCATATTTTAATTTTTGGCAGATCCATTGCCAGCAATGGATAGTCTAGAGAAGAATATGTAAGACCATTTATACAAAACAGCATATTTGTTGTTCAGTGATAAAATGCTAAGTTCCAGAAAGTTAAATCATGTTTTACAGTAGTTTTCATTTTGGTTATGGTTATTGAATACCTGAAATTATTTTTCAAATAAAAAGATTGATATGTAAATCTCACTTACCTGCTATCTTCAGTTTTTCTTGCTCAATGCAATTCAGTCAAGATTCTCTGCCCACAGCTCAATTAATTAAATTAGTACTACACTGGATTGTTTTGAGCCAAATAATCACTCAACACAAACAAGCCAATTCCAAGATATTTCAACAATATCCAATTTTCCCATTATTTGAGTTATTCAGATTGATTCCCTCAGGAAATGCCGCACTCCCATTCACATCCATACAAAGGCAATGCATAAATTACACAAACACGTGTTCTACGATGAAAAATTAAGGTGAACCAGGAAATCATGTTCTTTTGTTGGAATTCATTTCAACTTCTCAACCACCCTTTTAGTGCATATACAAATTAGAAGCTATGGGGAATTTAGGAATTGTCATCTTCACATTACCAAGTGTGTAGATTCAGCCCAAAATATTTCTCTCACAGGAAATCAAACATTTCACATAAGAAATATCTTGGGACCAACAAAACTTAACAAACAGGAAGAAATCATTAGTACTTCAAGTGTACCAAATATTAAAAGGCATCTTTATACTAAATCGTTAATCATTAAAATTCTCCCACAAGAAGTTTTGCACACCCACACATTACACACAATTTGGAATACACTGCAATAAATGAACAAGCCAATTGTGCTGGCCCCAGCTATGCAAGTAACAAAGCTCATTCTTGCAATTTGCATAAATCCTTAGTTGTATTGTACATATTATCTGAGAAAATAGGTTTGAGTCCAGTCATAAACTTTAGACCAACCTACATTGTTCACATCTAACATAAGTTTCATTAATTTTAAGGGGTTTGCTCAGACTGTGTCCAGATCAGGCCAGTAACTTCAGCACTTCTCTGCTTAGCAGGATACACACTAATAACCCAACCTTATGGGGGCTTACTAAGGAACCTTGGGTTTAATTAAGTTATTTCTAAGAAACACCTGATACATTTTGGTTTTAATTATACACTGCACTTTGATAAGCATGGATGTGACAAATGTGTATAGAAAAAGAACCAACAAAAAACATCATTTACTCTTCGTTTATCAAAATTTGCTTGGTGGCTGGGTCAAATCTGATCCTGAAAAACTTGTGGAGTGCCTTTTATATAACTGTATTCTTAGTGCTATTACTATTCCTCTGTGTGTGTGTGTGTGTGTGATTCATATGTATGCTCTTACCACTAATTGAAGAATCAACACCCATAAAATCTAGGGAACTATTTGAACAAACATTTAATACAACAATAATACTGTATACTAAAATGAAACTAGATAGGCACTAGTGTAATCTAAAAAGGTCTTTTTTTCAAAAGAAAAATGTGAGACTACATCAAGCAATGTATTTGTCAGACAGATATGTAAACTCTTTTTTAGTTTGTGGAGTGCATTAAACGTCCATTTATTAAGGCAAATTATTACTGTATTAATTGTAATAATTTTGTATGTGAATCTTGTTAGCACATGAGTCAATTCTGTTGCTTTAAAAAGCCAACTTGAAGTCTTGATTTTTTTTAAAAAATGGGAAACATTTTTAGTCACTTTTAACTGACATGCAATTATGTACAAACTGCCCAGAACTCTGAAGGCAGGACCTAAGTAGTAAAAGAACACCCCTTCAAGCAACTCATTTGAAAGTGACCAGTGGTCTTCTCAATTGTACGTTTACATGAACTTTGCATTCAAATCAATATTCAGTTTTATCTCCTCAAAAGAACGTTCAGTGGTTTTTTTGGATCACAGAATATTAGTGTACAGTTTTCACATTTTATATGCCTCTCAGCAAATTCAAGCTGTCCACACAAAAAAGCTACCATTTAATGATTGGTTCCAATAGCTATCAATTAACACCACTATTCTAGTAACATTGAGTGCTAGACACAACTGCTATTCACCAGATACAAGTTGAGGCATATGCAAAAAAATGCAGTTTTGTTAGAGACATTTTAACACAATTAAATACTGCTAAACACAAGACACTCCCTGAGGTGTAAACATCAAATAACTTGAACAGCTTTACACATCAGCCCCATTAAATGGTTTATTACAACACTACATCTATTGTAATCAAATTGGTGCTTTTTACAGACATTATCATTTGAACATTTAAACAAGAACTACTATAAAAACAAGCATTTACGTGACTGTTTTCCAACTGCTTGCACATTTTAATTGTCAAATGTATATAACCAGTAATAAAGTTGCAAAAAGCTATACGTTTTAAAT